GCCTCCCCACCCCGTTGCTAGAACAAGAAAAGCAAAGCGCTGGCCAAACTTCAAATCTCTCAGGATGTTGGAAGCAGGCAAAAACTGAACATAAAAAGCTCTCTGCAAACATAAACTGGAAAGCAGGGCTGAAAAGTAAATGACCCTTCTCCTGTCCAGCTCATCCACCCCAGCTATCCAACCCATGCTCCCCTGAGGACCGTACCATTTTACATCCACCCCCTCACCATCCAGTTAACATTTGACACTTAATGACTGATCCCGAGGGGAACAGTGAATTTTGTTTCTCGAAAATCTCAATGTTGCCCCGAGACGAAGTGTGCACACCTCAAAGTGCATCAAAAATATGCAAATCTTAATTTCAACTCCCTTCTCAGTACTTAGAATATGGTAAGACATGGTCTCTTGTGTTTGAGAGGATACCGGATGAAGAGTTAAACAGACGAGAAGCAATGACTGGAGTCTCTTTTAGAGGGAAGAGTTACCGGTTAATGCTTACTTCCAGACCTGCTTTAAGACACCTCAAACTACATCCGGTTTGTACAAATTTACCAAGTCAACAGTTCCAGCTATCAAATTTGCCAAGCAACACATCTAGCAACCAAATGTATTGCACCATGTTGGAATGATGAGGAAAATGAGCCTGTGCTCCTCCCCTGAGAGCAAAGGCAAGGAACAGAGATGGGTGATAAGAGAGAACTCCAAAACTCAAGTCAATGGCATGCCCTAAAAAATACACACCATTAAAAACTGCATGTAACCAATCAACGAATGGAAATTGAAAATGTGCTGTTAACACAAAACAAGGTTCCAATTAGCACCAAAAATCATATCGAGTTATTTTCAAATTTTTTAGATGAAAGGCATGAAAGCCAAATGTACAATGTACTTATTACAACAAATTGCATAGTTCAAGTTTTTTCTTTAAGCTCGCAGGTGACTAGTATCGATCCGAGTATTTTCCTCAGAAGGGCACTATGGGCAGATGGTGTCTCTCTGCCGATGAGTACTGTTGCATCACGTGATCAATTTAAACCAATAAGAATCCCAGAAAATTTACTGTTGAACTATGAAACGCAATAGAAATCTCGAGCTCGGTCTTATCATGATTAAATAAAGCCCTCAGCTTCCAAATTCAATGGTCCCCAAAGTTTAATAATTGCTGTCACACAAATAGAGTCTTTGACAAGTTTACAGACTTAGGCTTTAATAAACATGGTAATTACATACAACACTGTTTATTATGCCATTTAGCACTGTAAGGTCAAGAAAACACTTGCATGCATATGACATATGAAACTTAGATTATAGCTACTGCATACCCCAGGCTATTTGAGCTAAGCGGTCATATTTGTATCTATACTAGATACATGGCTGAAAATTATGGAGCACATACGACCTGGATGTTGTTTCCAGCCCAATCACTGCCCCTTCTCAGATGCAAATATTTTCGTTTTTTCATGAGTTATTCTTAACCACATGGAAGACAGACCCTGTTCCTACATTTCTAAGAAAATAATGCACTTTTGAGGTCTAGATAAACTGCTGAACGCACTCATGTTCCACTCACGCATGCACTGTCTAAAAAAAAAAACGTAAAAAAGCTGTAATTTTATCTGTCAATGTAAATTGTGAGGAAATAATTAAAAGTATGTTGTTGTTGTTGTTGTTGTTACATTACCAGCAGTTGTGTGCATTATTTTCTTAGAGAAAAAGGAACAGCATCTTCTATTTGGCAAATAATATATACACTACTGCTGTACCCTCTAATTTTGTACCATGTTATCCCATTGAAGAACTCAATAAGAATAAATATAATGGAATGGAATACTAAAGCCCTTAAGTACCCCTTAAGGTGCCAAGGAAATCAGTTTTCCAGCTTGCCCTTACAGCAAGCGTCAACTAGGATATACTGGCCTGACAATCATTTACATTAGCCAGGCAAAAACATTTTCTTCCAACACAATAATGAATTGACTCTTTTAAAAATCATTTAATAATTGAAAAAATTACACAATCTCTTACAGTTCTTCTATAATTTGAATTTTGGCAAATTGTACCATGAGGAAAGTGAGGGCTAGAAGCCACTGGCTGATGGCAAACTCTGCAAAATCTGGGCTATCACACATGTTACCCTTATGCCCTTATTGCATATTTACATTTTTTGTTTGATTACTTAATGTCCAAGCATCATCCATTAACCTACAGTATCAAATAAATTTTTTTGGTTGCTTGATAGATAGGGAAAGAATGATGCTCCATAGAGTAAATTTACAGCTTTTAATAAAATACAATCCAATATTGCACCGTGTAGAAATGCCAAATCTTGTACCACACTGTTTAGGGAAGATCTGGGAAAAAAAAAAAAAGCACAAGGGCATGTAAGACATTATTTACAAGTTCCAGGCAAACTCTGACTGATATACAATGCACAAAACAGCCAGAGCATTTCCACCTAAAAAAAGATGATAACTTTTGTTACACGCATAAATGCAACTGCAGTGCTGCAAAGATACATTTCCTCATATGATACATATCTTGATATACACAATACTAACAATAAGTCTTTACATACTCAGTTTTTTTGCTAAAATGGAAAGGCATCTTACGCAAACCAAGTAATTTACCTATAAGTGTGCAAGACTGTGTAAGCTGACAACCAATTTCAGATATAAAAAGACATCTTTAAATCTTACAAATAACTCATGCATTTGTGCCACCATCTTGAAAAGTACGAGATCGGAAGCACGCCAAGCAATTGCAATAATATTACGATGTTATGATTCTTCACCAACATTCAGAAATTATTGCTTGTGATGACTCCTTACTTCCATCCTTGCTTCATATCGCTTCGAGTGCTTCCGATCTGGTATTTTTCGCATTGTGACAAAAACAAAAACAAAAACAAAAAAATGCACCATGCATAAAATGTACAAGAAAGACTTCATGGTAAAACTCTTCAAATGTACTATTAGAAACAATAAGTTAGTAAAAAGAAAAATCAGATTGAAATCCCTTTGTTAGTTATGTGATGACATAAAGTAAGCACATAAGTAGGGCGCTAATAAAGTCACAAGAAGTTGCACGTTGTTGAATGTAGCTAAGTGGTCGATCCACTTAGCTACAGCTGGCTAGTTTTCAGGCATGCCACTTAAACTGAATGAAAGAAATATTGTGAATAAACATAATAGGCTTAAAAATCCCAACTGGCAGAAGGCAGACCAGTTGGCTATTTACAAGCGTGACCAAGGATATTTCTACTTATTGTCTGAATGATTTTTCTGTCTGAGATTTGAGGACCTTATTTCTGGAAGGGGCTAATTTAAGACTGAGACTCTTAAGTGTTTTGATTTGGAGACAGTCAAAAAACTTACCAAAAAGACAAAATTATAAGACTTCACTTTCACCTAACTACTTTGCACCAAGTGATGCGTAAGGCCTCACGACTTCATGACTAATTATACTTGGTCTCTGAGATCTTGAGATCAGATCACAAGTTTGCAAGACCAATGTTTCTGAGCACCAATAACTAGGCATAGTCAATAAAATATCAATAAGTATCAATCACTGCTTGCTATCCAATTGCCAATTGCTATCAATAATAATTATTCTTGTGCAAAATAGGGAAAACCAAGAGAAATAAGCAAGGCAAGAGCATGGGTATGAGCATGCACGATCCCTTGTCACTGTCAGCCAAAGTTTTCTTGTTGCCTTCAAGAAATTCCACTTATGTCTTCTTCTTAGTTTGTAATCAGTCCTGGCTTTGATTTTTTCACTGTCCAAGGACTTTTCTAGTCCCTTTTTTTTAGCATGTTTAATGATCTCAATAAGGAGTGATAGAAAGGATGGAAGAGCAAGAAACAAAAGTGCAAAATTGCTAGTGAATAAAAAACGCTAATTGAAGCCCTTGTAACAAGAGCTCTGCGCAAAAAGTTGAAGTGCTATGAGGATTATGACACCTAACTGTATTATTAACTTTTATTAAAAAACCTTTTTTTCTAAAGTTATACCTCGCATGCGTTTTAAGATTTTTCTTTCATTTTTTTGGCAAATGTTAGATGTTATACCGTAAAATTCCAAAAATAAGCCCTGGGGCTTATATTTTTCAAAGGACCATTTTGAGGGGCTTATTTTTGGAAGGGGCTTATTACAGGAGGGAAATTTGTGTCAAAATTTTAGAATGTGCAACTGGTAATATTAATAATAATAATAATAATAATAATAATAATAATAATCGAATATTTCCTCAGGATAACCCTTCAGTACAAAGTACTGTTATCAACGGGGTCCTGCTAAGAATTAAAAACTAATAAACAAGAATTATTAAGATATATAAAATAAGATATATATTAAAAACTGTTAAAAATACAATAGAAATTACAAGTAATGCTCGTCTAAGGCTTTCCTAAATAAAACTCTAGAATTAATGTTTCTTAAACTTAAAGACAATAAATTAAAAATCGAGGCACCTAAAAAATAAAAGCTATGGTGCACAAAATCCAGTCTGACTTTTGGTAGTTTTGCAGTTTTCCCATTATTTCTAGTGTTTAAAGCGTTATGATGTAATCGGTGAAAATATTCTTTAAATGGAAAGCATGCAGTTCCATTAAGGCAGTCAAATACAAAGCAGCACGCTCTTTTTT